TCTGGACCCCAAGGAACCAGTCTAAATGATTGTTTGCAAACAGGTCCAAGTCTAACTCAGAAATTGTATGACATACTGTTGAAGTTTAGACTTAACAAATATGCGTATTCAGCAGATATAAGTAAGGCCTTTCTAAGAGTTGGCTTACAAGAAGAAGATAGAGACTTCACTAAGTTTCTATGGGTAGAGAACCCAGAAGATGTCAATAGTCCTGTAGTGACTTTCAGATTCTCTTCAGTTCTTTTCGGCGCGACAAGCAGTCCATTTCTGTTGCAAGCAACTCTAGATACTCATCTGAAGAAATCATCAAGTCCCTGTAAGACTGAAATCAGTCAAAATCTATATGTAGATAATTTTCAAGGGACAGTTAACAGTACTACTGAACTGTTACAATTATATCAAGAGGCTAACAAGGAGCTACAAGGTGCAAACATGCCACTACAATCTTGGGCCTCTAATAATGCAACATTGAATAATCAAATAGCAAGAGATTACCCTGAATATCACGTACCAGAATCACAAAAGGTGTTAGGTATGGATTGGGATTTAATCTCGGACACAATATCGATCAAATCTGTGCCAGTAAATTACAACATCACTACAAAAAGGGATTTGCTTTCACAAGTTAGCAAAGTATTCGACCCACTTGGTCTACTAAATCCTTTGACTATCAAGTGGCGTTTATTGGTGCAACAAGCATGGAAGGCTAAGGTTGGTTGGGATGATCCACTACCAATCCAGTTACAAAAAGCTTGGATGGAAGTGGCTCAAGAACAAACTTTAGTTGAAAAGATAATCTTTCCGAGACACATTGTCGAGGAAAATGAAGAAGTATCACTACATGTATTCGCAGACTCGTCAGCCAAAGCTTTTGGAGCTTGTGCTTACTTAGTGACTTCTAATCAATCATATCTTATCACCTCTAAGGCCAGAGTCGCTCCATTAAAAAAGAGGACTTTGCCTCAGATGGAACTAACAGCACTGCTAACTGGCACACGCTTAGCAGTGCATATCAAACAAGTCTTGTCTGCCATGAACATCAAAGATGTCATCATATGGTCTGACAATGAAGCTGTCTTACAATGGGTACGAAACGACAACTGTCCAACTCCATATGTAAAAAATCGCGTCTCGGAAATTAAAGAAATTTCCGCAGGCTTTCAATTGTTGCATGTACCAACAAAGGATAATCCAGCTGATCTCTTATCAAGAGGTATGACATTTAAACAGTTTGCAAAGGCAGATATTTGGTTTCATGGGCCTCGATGGTTAGTGAATGGTAGTTGGCCTGAACAAAAGCCACACGTCATTACGACACAAACCATAACTACCACCAGGCAGCAAGCTCAAATATCAGTCTTGGATTGTACTCGTTACTCCTCGCTCATCAAATTAATCAATGTAACACAGAACGTGTTTCATTATCTCAGGAAAAAAGGTATAAAATACACTTTTCCAGATGCACTTCTCTATTGGGTAAGACAAGCCCAGAGAGAAACTTATGGGAATAACTATGAAAATCTTTCGCATAAGTTAAAACACAATCTCGGTCTGTGGATAGACCAAGAAAATCACAACATTCTGCGTTGTGGAGGGAGACTTAAACACGCAGATATCAATCTAGATACCGTGCATCCATGGCTTTTACCAAAAAATCATTGGATCACAAGGTTGATTGTGTTGCATACACATCAACAAATCATCAAACATGGAGGAGTGTTAGACACACTCACACAAATCAGACAGCAGTACTGGATTCCTCAGGGAAGACAGTCAGTCAAATCAATCTTGAAGAATTGCATGATATGCCGAAGGTACGATACAAGAACTTGCTCTTATCCAGGGCCACCACCCCTACCAAAGGAACGAGTGGTCCATCTACAACCTTTTGAAACGACAGGAGTAGATTATACAGGAGCAATATATCTAACAGGGACTGCAGATAAGCAACCTATCAAGGCATACATCTGTCTGTTCACCTGTGCTACCACTAGGGCAGTACATCTAGAGGTAACACCCGATATGACTGCTCAATCATTTATTCAAGCTTTCCGCAGATTCGCAGCACGCCGATCATGCCCTAAGCTGATGATTTCAGATAACGGAGCAAACTTGGTAGCTGGAGAAGCATGTCTACGGGAAATCTGTTCCCATCCTGCAGTTACTTCCACACTGGAACAGCGTCATTGCAGATGGAAATTTATCTCTCCGAGAGCCCCATGGCACGGAGGATTTTATGAACGGTTAATAGGAACTGTAAAAAGATCCTTGAGAAAATCTCTACACCGTCAGAAAATCAATCTTCAAGAACTCCAGACAGTAATCACGGAAATAGAATCAAGGGTGAATAACCGGCCGTTGACTTACTTGTCTGAGGATCCTACTCAACATGAGCCATTAAGTCCTGCCCACCTAATGTATGGAAGACTTCTGACTCCAGTACCATCTCTAGTGGATGATGAGATCAGAGATCCCTCATATGTGGGTCAGAGCGAGTTGGTTCAGGGGTATAAACATCTGTCTAGCATAATCCAAAAATGGAATGATGTTTGGACAAAAGAATATCTTACATCTCTACGAGAACATCACTATGGGGCCAACGTCCCACATAATATAGCTAATCTCCAACCTGGCGATATTATCTTGGTAGACAGTGATGGCCCTAGGGCTGACTGGCCATTAGGTAAAGTTGTCTCAGTCCATCCAGATAGTCAGGGGATTTTGAGAATAGTCAAAATCCTGTCTAAAGGAACAACTTCCCTGAAGACATTGGACAAACTCATCCACATGGAATCAGTGAGCCAGCTGCAGTTAGATCCTGAGAGACCTCAAGACACTCTAACTCCACAAGACCCACAGACTCCTAACAGACACAATCGTCCACAACGGACAGCAGCAGAAAAGTGCAAGCAAAATCTGCACTTGTATTATCAATCCAATGGAGAGTAAATAAATACATATGGTTACTATTGTCCTAAGTATTGGACTCTGTGCCAGTTCTCTCCCTCTGGAAGATGTGGGAAATTTTTACCCACCATATCTAATAATCATCTAAGAAATGTATAATTTCTATATCATATCTAAATCATATCAAAATCATATCTAAAATGTATCAAAATCATATAATGAATCTTTAAAGATTCATTATAGCTTGATCCTGGATGACAATGGCACCATGAACACGTACGCAACAGGGGCCCTTTTGATGCCTACGTGACTTTGTACATGATCTCTCAAGGATCCAGAAGCTTCTAGAAGGACTTCTTAATTAAAAAACTATTGGAACATTGATTCAACATCCGGTAGGATTAAAAATCGAATCCTTAATAAGATTCAGTGGTACTTTCAAATACTACTTATAATCTTTAAATCTTATATCTAATTATATTATAATCACATCTTATCTTAATCATAAGTCTAGACTGTAAAAATAATCAATCAATATTCATAGAAGGCTACCGTGCTCAGAGAGCATGGCAGGGCGATGGGGGGAGTGAAGCGCCCACCAACAAGCCCAGGGGCACTCCGCGTTTGTTTACAAATGAGTGAACAAGTGACTGATCCTTAGCGAACATTACCAGCTCAAGGACACCTTATCTAACATTTTTATCGCCAGTGAATACTCTCTAGAACTGGGGGAGTACCTGGACAATATCTACAAGGAAAATCCGTGAACATTCACATAAAATAGAGTGTATAGTGGAGATCAGTGACACGGTTTCCTCCACCTTCATTCATAAACTTTTATCTCGAATCATTCTTCTGCAACTGCAGGATAATCACGTAGCAACGCTACCAGATCATCATACAGCAACGCTGTAGCAAAATATCGTGCCTAAACTCAACAAGAGAGAGTTAATCAGTCTGGCAAACTTGTCAGACAGGCACCCCGACTGGCAGAGAAGTATATTGAAGGTTATTTGGTGTATGATTGGCCAATTGTATGCTTGTGTAACTTTAATATCCTATAAATCTGTCTGTTGGTTAAAAAGCGAGGCTAAGCCTCACATATCAGTAAGTTTATTAAAATTGTAGTGTAGCTGTGAATCTTATCCAAGCACTGAACCTCATGAGTGTCCATTCTGTCAGAAAAGAATTCAGCCTCAATAAGTAAAAACCTCACAAGTGTCCATAGCGTGGGAAGAGATTCACTCAAGCTAACTGTATCATATAAATTGAATATGTCTGCATATATATTTGAATATATAAATTAAGTTATCAATTGTTTGCTTAGTTAATTTTTAAGTTATCATATAAGTTCATTTAATTGAATATAATTTCTAGTACTTGACAGTATTTAGACTACATTTAAGGTCATTTATTATACTTTTACAATTTAATTTGTTGTTTATAGTATAAGTACATATTGGCTGTTAAGTTATGGTACTAGGTTAGACTATGTATGTTTAAATCTCTGATTTAAACAGAGCCAGTGTTCAGTCAGATAACTGAATTTATCAAATCTTATCCTTGTATAAAATACAAGCTGATGTGAGATCCCTGTCTACAGGTGGATTGGAACTTCTATCAACATAGTCATTCACCCCACCTGTCCCTTACAGCCCACAGTTTGTCATTAGGAAAAGAGGATCTAGGATTTACAACCCTAGCTAGAGATTTTAGTTGAATTAATTTGCAGACAGTAAATTTTTAATTTAGTTCAGTACAAGTCCCTGGTAGTCTCCTCTTATATCAATCCCAGCAGGTTTTTCCCACACATAGAAAGGCAAAGACTTAAGGACGGTAGCCGTAACCACTGTTAACGTACACGGTGTCTGTCACTGTACGGTAGTGTGAGAAGGTAGTTCTCTGGGTGTTAATATTCGTGTGTACCACCGTCGCTGTATACGACAACCTGCAATATAGAAAGCAATTTAGAAAATTTATTAGAGGCCATGATTCTGACCCATTGATTGGGTACTCGCAGATACTGTCATTTTTACTTTTGTCCGAAAAAGGCAAATTATAAGGCTAAATTTAAGAAAATTGTTTGTACTTACACCTGGGTGGCCGTGGTGGTGTAGGTGTACTGGCTGATGACGTAGGACGTGTGGCCGAGGGTCACGTAGCTTAGTGACGTCTCTGTCACGATCCTGAAGTCAGACTTCACTTCCGTTAACGTTACGGATGTTGGCCGGACAAAGACAGACGTCTGTAGAGCGACCCGGTCATCAACTGGAGTTTGTAGCACCTGTGAAGTAGAAGGTAATGTTATAAGCGGGAAGATTTCAATGTTATGATCATTATGTTACACGATACAATGATACAATGTTATTGCACAGTGTTACCGTAAACTTACCGAGCGTGTTCCGACGGTGACAGTCTGCACGCTGAAGGACGTTAAGGTTACTGCCACGCTGTTGAAGGCTTGGTCGGTGACAGTGACGCAACGGTCGACGGTGACAACTTTGGTGACAGTGGGGTGGAAGACATCATCCACTCTCCTGACCTGAGGGACGCCAACAGGTCTGACAACACTTCCAGAAGGTCCAGTGCTGCCCACTGCGACCCGCGGAACGGCCACCTGGTCCAACCTGCCACTGCTGAATATGGTAGCGGGACCACTACCAACGACGGGACCTGGACCACCAAAGGGACCCTGGGCGACGACGGGACCTGGACCACCGAAGGGACCCTGGGCGACGACGGGACCTGTACCACCAAAGGGACCCTGGGCGACGACGGGACCTGGACTACCGAAGGGACCCTGGGCGACGACGGGACCTGGACCACCGAAGGGACCCTGGGCGACGACGGGACCCTGGGCGACGACGGGACCCTGGGCGACGACGGGACCTGGACCACCAAAGGGACCCTGGGCGACGACGGGACCTGGACCACCAAAGGGACCCTGGGCGACGACGGGACCTGGACCACCAAAGGGACCCTGGGCGACGACGGGACCTGGACCACCAAAGGGACCCTGGGCGACGACGGGACCTGGACCACCAAAGGGACCCTGGGCGACGACGGGACCTGGAGCTACGTCACTGCGAAAGCCTTGGGGAAAGTAACGTCCCTCAACAAGATTTCCTCTGTGCTGGCCTGCGTCAGGAACGAGGACGCTGCCAGGGCCCTGGAGAATGAAGGCGTCGTTAGCTGGGCTAGATTGAGCACTACTCGGCAGGGTACCGATTGCTCTGCTGAACACAGGTAGTGGTCGACCAGTGTCCCTGGGAATATTGTGGCCAAGAGCGATGGATGTATCCGAGTCCTGACGTAGAGCCGGAGCCTGCAGTGTTAAAAATTTTATTAAATAGACACGAGCGCTTAGTGACTAGGTAGTAGTAGTACATGAAGCTTTCCAGTATTGTAAACAAAGTTACACGAAAACAGCACACACCTGCAAAGGTAGATATTGGCAGGTCACTCCAGCCATGAGGAAGACCACTTTCAATAATTGTGTAGAATACAGCATCTGTAATGTTTTGGCATTTTAGAATAAAGTCCTGGTTAGGACTTATTCAGATTCTATGGCGAAGTAAGAGTTAAAAATATGTTATCGTCTAACAAGCAATAATTCATTGCCGTTATGTTGATTGAAAGACAGCTGCAGCCATTAAAAATGTATATACAGACTAAACGACACGAAGGTATAGTCTAATGTTTTAAGCGTCTGAAGTGAGGAACCTCCAATGAGGAGTTATCAATTAGGGGAAAGAAACCAGAGTGAAAAATTTTAAGAATTAGTATTGCAAAAAATCGAACTAAATGCCAGTTCAAGTTTAATACAAGTTAATACTCATGTTAAAGCTTTACACTTTGAAAAGCTATCAAGATTTAGGAAACTTCTCCATACAAGTTAATACAAGGGTTACTAAAGCAAGCGTAGACACGAATTTAAGCTACTCCATGTAGTCTTATTATTGTTAATTTTTGTATTAGAACTAAAAACCAAGCCGTTAAATCTACCAACTTCAAACGGTATAATATTTCCTAGAGTAAAAGCACACTTCACCCCATTAATGCCTTTTTACGTTTAAGAAGAGAGCTTATCAAAAAAAAAAAAAAACTGATATAATATCAACATACCAAGGACTTAACACAAAAAAACAAAATTAACCACAAAACACAATACCATAATACCTTGAGCCAGACGATGTTACTGGAGTGAAGGTGAGGAGGAGAGTGAGGAGCTGGGCCCCACCTGCCCGCCTCAACACCTCCCTCACACCCTCCTCATGGTCGCTGCCTCTCATAATACACCCCTTCTTTACCCCAGTATTTACACACTCACTCGTAATCCTCTAACACTCTTTGTTTCCCTAAAGTTAACATCGTATTAGTAGTTAGTATATTTATTGTGGCACAACAGAACCTAACTGCCGGTGAGAACGAGGCAAAGTGACCATTATGGACCCGTAAGTGACACTCAGTGGCTTAGCACAGTCTTCCCACACACGCCCCAACACCCAGTGGGACAGGTGGTCCTTGGGTCGTCTAGAGTTGCCCTCAGCCTCAAGTTCTTATTCTTTCAGTAAATAATCTTAAGTGAATCTGGACGGAGCCGCTTGGGGATACTCAGGATGGGAGAATATTCCTTTATATGTCACTGACCTGGTGGTTCCTGGGTCTGTATGCCTGTCTCCCCCTCCAACCACATTCAACTCACTCTCTCACTTAACTCTATCACTGTCTCTCTATCTCATTGTATCTCTCTCTCTCTATCTCATTGTATCTCTTTCTCTCTATCTCATTGTATCTCTCTTTCTCTCTCTCAAGACATTTAGCAAACAGTCAACGGACCTACAACGTTGTTTGCACTACCGTTACGTTGATGCACCGTTGCAACACCGTGATTCCGGACACATTTAAGGCTACGTTTTGCGTATCATGTGATGTTATGAACAGCTGAAAACGTGTTGAAAAACTCTGCAAAATAGAACCACAATTTCAGACTTCATTGGAGTCGCTATAACAGCAAACATTCCTTGATTGGGACCAATGGGGGTCGTCCCAAGCCTGCCTAAGACAGCCCTTTGCCCCCTATTTTGCTAACCTTTAAAGTTGGATGAGGCTAGCCGCAAGCGTCTGGATTCCAACCATGGACAATTACTATGGACTAAAATACAAAATTGTTATCTTATTTAACCCCCCCCCCCCCCGAAAAAATAAGTCAAGGTTTGTACTATTAATTTTATAGGAGATCGCGAGAAAGAAAGCCAAACCAAACCTTCGTTCTCGACTCGCAGTTGAGGATCCCAGGGTCGATCCCCGAGCCAGACAAAAATGATCTCGAGCTTTTCCTTTCACCTAATTCCGCTGTTCACCTAGCAGTAAATAGGTACGCAAGAATTAGGCAATTGCTGTGGGGTTGCATCCTGGGGAGGGATGAAGTGATTATATAATAAAATAGCTAATTTATTATTTATTTTATCTTATTTTTATACGGGTATCACCTGCCCTAGTGACCAAGGAACGCTTCACGGAGCTTCGGCAGTGCTTCAAGTGCTACTAGTACTCCCACTACACCAGCAAGTACACCGAGAGAGCTCGGAGATGCAGTCTCTGTGCCCGGGAGCTGCAATCATGGTGCTGCACATCCTCCCACCTACGCTGCCTGCTCTGCAACGACCCACACTATGCAGTCTCACTTGACTGTCTTATCCGGCATGAGGAAATCAAGAAGATGACGGGTACCACCACCTCACCTCACTTCAGATTTGCAGGAAGCTAGACCGTCGCTCTACCGTCCAACTCAAATGGTCGGGCAACAGGGGGTGGAGGTGTAGTGTCGGGGTGGAGGTGTAATGACAGGAGGTGGAAATGTAGTGGCAGCGGGTGGTGTAGTGACAGAAGGTGGCGGTGTTGTTACAGAGTGGAGCTGTAGTTAGGTGAAGGTAAGATATCAAAAATGCTGTATTACAACATCTGTTGCAATATCCAACAGTTCCTGTGTCATTTAGGTTAATACAAGAGCAGAAAGATACAAACGACGAGCGGTGCCAAAGATATCACCTTCTGGCGGGCCGGCCATTGGCTTGGCAAACTCCTCTCATGATGAGTTTTCCATCTTATTCAAAATAATTGTAGTGAAAGACTCTCACAAATCCCACCCTGCTCTAAACACATTCATCTGCCCTTGGTCATGTTGTCCGGCAATTTAATAATTCAATATAAGTAACTTGAGCATCCGGGTTTTCACTGATTTTATGTTTGGGAGAACAAGTCAGTCTCAAACTCGCCAGAAATAAATCAGTTAAATCCTGTAATACATTCCTAGAAGACCAGCTGTGTCATCGTGTGATAAATGACACAATACTGTATAATCCCTACCATCGTGACCTTGGGAGGTGTCTTCACACGACTCTTCCAATTACAGGAGAGCCAACGGGTAATTGTCAGTTCCCCATAACATCGAGTCATATTCATCCGTCTTCTGTCTTATGTTCGTATGCGTGGCCTTGGACACATCATCCAAATGGTCAGTAAATATATACTGCCTTCAGCCAGGGTGGTGGTCCTACGCTCTTGGTGATCCGAAGAAGTTAGGACAGAGTCAGGTGGCGAGGCACGCATTCTTTAAGCCCCATCCATTATTTGCTTCAACCTTCAATTACCAATAGGCAGTTCTAAGCCCGAAAGATTTCATTCGCAATCCATCCTTTCACCATATATGTCGCTTTTTACGGAATCTACCAAAATAATAAAAATGAGACGTATTAGAACAATTTCATTCACTCTCATATTGAAGGTTCATGTGTAATGGCCTCGATAGGCTAGGTGGGTTGCTCGGATTCTTACGTTTCTAGTAAGGGGAAAAATGGTTGCATTTTTTCATGGAAAGGCAAATCCGGAGAAGGGGCTGATGTGCTAGTATTTTCACTAACTTCAGCTTTTGAGCTTTCGTTCTGCAGGTGTTCGAAGGCTCCGGCACTGATCCACCAGGATACCGACGCAGTGTCTATTTATTCATGGACTGCACTGCAAGCGGTTAAACACCCGCCACAAAGTGAAATGCCCCGCGATGGTAGAGACTGTTTACATCTCCAGACGGTAATGACATTAAATTCCGATGTCTTGTAGGACAGCTCTGTCTCAAAACACTGCAGTTGAGTGTGGTGCATGTCACACCATGCACTAAGAGGAAAATTTACTTCCTTTAATAGATATCCGGGAGATTACACACAGAAATCACAATTGAGTGATGCATCAAATGCACAAATCTACAAGGGCCGTGACGAGGGTTCGAACCTACGTACGAGAGCATCCCAGACGCTGCCTTAATCGAACGCGCCACGACATGGTTAAAAGAATTGCAACCAGAAGTTCTACTGACCTTACTTGGACCCTGTAGCGTCTCCGAGACACAAACCAGGATTTTATGTAATTCCCCCATGCACTCGAGCTCTGTCAATAGGCCGTTCTACCTCTTCGCCCTTACTTCATTACACATAGAAATCACAATAGCGGGATGCATCAAATGAACAAATATACAAGGGCCGTGAAGAGGGCTTGAACCAACGTCCGAGAGCAGTAAGGGCAGTAGAACTTCTGGTTGCAATTCTTTTAACCATGTCGTAGCGCATTCGATTAAGGCAGCGTTTGGGAAGCTCTCGGACGTAGGTACGAATCCTTATCACGGGCCTTGTGGATTTGTTCATATCCGGGAGATCTTAGCGCTGTTCGGCTGTCAACTGCGCGAACCACAACCGGAAGTTATCTCTTATGTCAGAAGGTAATCAAAAAGGAACCAAGCCGGAAAAAAACTATGTAGCACCTGTGTCACAGGATATTCAAAATGTACTAAATATAGCTCAAGAAAACAATATGAGAACTAAATGACATAAGGCGAGCGATATCAAAGGTATCGGATTCACCAAGGATTTTATCGAGGGAGAAGTGTCCAAAATTGGCGTTGTCCGCAAGTTCAATCAAAGTAACTTCAACGTGGCTGGTAACCCAGCAAAAATCAACTGTCTTAAATCTGCAATCGATAAGAAACAGTCAGTACTGGGTTTCCACCTCAACAGGATGCAGAGGGTTAAGATTCTTCAGAGCTATGATGGCGCTAAGAGAGCCAACCACTAACAAAAAAAGGAAACTAAGGAATAGCACACGTAATTACAAGTTACAACAACAGCAGAGATATCGTCAACATAAAGGACAGAAAATAACCGATGAAAGGAGACTATTCAGGGCAATCAGGAAAATGAGTAGTGCTAAAAAATATCGCTTGGGGAACACCTTCAAAGTGTTGAAAAGGCGCAGAGGAAAGCCCTTCCAAGCCTCGCTTTAAACAAATGACTCGAGAGGAAGCTTTGAAGGAAAATTAGTAGATTGTCATAAGGCCAAGAAAATGCAGTTGTGCTACGAAAATGTAATTGTATCTCCATGTGGTGTCAAGCTTTTTCCAGGTCAAAAGGGAGACATTCGCATCAACGGTACGTAAACCTCCAAATGCGTCAAGATATCAGTTGTGCACTTACGAAAGTGCGCAACTGAAATTACAGTTATGGCACTTTCGAAAGTCAAATATGGAGGGGGAGGGAGAGCGATGATGTCCCGAGAAGCAACCGAGATATACATCAACTTTTAAGGGCAATGGGGTGAAATTCCTTAGGGGACGTCTAATCTCCAGGGACCAAAGTCGTCTCCCAAATACGATTATAGCAACCTGTCCTCGACTCTAGTCCATTACATCCAGCGGTCAACCCAGCAGACGCAGTCATAAATTTGTACATGCTGTTCATTCAAAACAGGAATTTTCCGAAATATAAGTTAATATAATACTAGATGTACCCGGCCACGCGTTGCTGTGGCGCAGCAACGTATGTGCGTTGCCGAGCCACAGCAACCTTCCCCCTGTCCCCCCAACCATTCCCCACTCTGTCGTCCCCACCACCATTCCCCCCCATCCCCTCGTGCTCCCCACCATCCCCCACTCTTGTTACTTTGTCCTACCTACCATTCTCTATTCCCCCGTCCCCTCGTCCTCATCATTTCCTACTTCCTCTTCGAATGCATTTCCAAATGATCTGATGTTCATCAGAAAATTGGGATCAAATGATTTGATGTTCCCATCACTGAAAAATAATAAGTTAAAAAAAACGAAATGAAAAAATGAAAATACCAAAATAAACTACTGAAAATGAACTGTATGGTAAGCAATTATCAAAATGCACTAAACCGGGAAGGCTATGTAGCACCATTAAATGTGCGGAATCAGAGGGCTCTAAATATTACCAAGGATGCCGATACGAGAACTGAAACGCATAAGGCGAACGATATCAAAAGTATCCGAGTCGCCAAGAATTCTATCTAGGGACAGGTGACCGCGAGGGGCGGTCGGAAAGCAAGACATACGCTCGTCCTGGAAGTCAGGACATTCAAGAAGGACATACACGACAGTAAGAGGGACACTGCAACTAGGGCAATAAGGCAATAAGGGGGGGGGGGGGGGGGGGGACAGAGAAAAGCTACATGAGGTAGCACGAGTCAGTCTGAATTTAAGCTCCCTTACTCAGCAAGGTGAAGGCCTTTGTAATGGGCGAGCTGGGCTACTACCGTGTCGTTAGACCACTTCAAAGCAAAGACCAATCTCTCAGGGAATATAGAAGGATTAGTATCCTGTAGTGTGATAACCTGGTTTTAGACAGTCTAGCAGCTTCCCCAAGACAATCTAAAAGCGTGTCCATTTAAGAGCTCTAAATTGTCAACTCAAAGAAAACCATGAAGCAAACACCGGGCTTCTAGACCCTTGAGAAACTGAGTAAAATGCTAAAAAAAAAAAAAAAAAAATTATATTTATATATAAATATATATAAATATATATAATTAGCCATTAACAGGGATAAATTCTTTGTGGTACTAGTAAGAAAACAGGACAGATGTAGGAGTGAGGTTTTTTAGCATCTTTATCAAAATCTAGTTCAATTTTTTTTTTCCGACCGTTCTCCCCAGTTTGCAGTGTAGCGTGTTGAAGGCGCAGAATTGGAGGCATTACATATAGCTGTGAAGAGTAAAACATCTTTACAAGCAAGTATCAACTTACACATCCCCCTCTCACTTTTCAAAACACTGCATTCTTTGAAGAAATGGCAATACAACCTTTGGGTATAAGGATTGCGAGAGCTTTCATACGCATTTTTATTACACCCTTTAAGTTAACTGCCAGGTGCAGTTAAAAGTATAGACACTGGCATTACTGTAGACTAGTGAAATGTGCTTCCATCATTTACAATAGCTATGTTAGTAGCAGCCAAAAATAGGTTTCTATTAAAACCCCACAAAAAAAATTTACTAGTTATTTTAACAATTTTGCGCGGATTTCCAAATACTGACTAAGGGAAAGATTTTTTTATTTCCCAAAAACAAAATACTATAAATGGTGTAAGCTAGCTATACAAACTGTCGTTTATAACCCTCATAGAAAGCTAAAGACTTATTGAGGACGGTAGCCGTAGCCGCTGTTAACGTACACTGTATCTGTCACTGTACGGTAGTTTGTGAGGGTAGTTCTCTGGGTGTTAATATTCGTGTGTACCACCGTCGCTGTATACGACAACCTGCAATATAGAAAGCAATTTAGAAAAATTATTAGAAGCCATGATGATTCTGACCCATGGATTGGGTCCTCTCAGATATTGTCATTTTTACTTTTGTCCGAAGAAAGGCAAATTAGAAGACTACAAATTTAAAAAAAAAATAAAGAAGTTTGTACTTACACCTGGGTGGCCGTGGTGGTGTAGGTGTACTGGCTGATGACGTAGGACGTGTGGCCGAGGGTCACGTAGCTTAGTGACGTCTCTGTCACGATCCTGAAGTCAGACTTCACTTCCGTTAACGTTATGGATGTTGGCCGGACAAAGACAGACGTCTGTAGAGCGACCCGGTCATCAACTGGAGTTTGTAGCACCTGTGTTGTAGAAGGTAATGTTATAAGCGGGAAGATTTCAATGTTATGATCATTATGTTATATGATACAATGTTATTGCACAGTGTTACCGTAAACTTACCGAGCGTGTTCCGACGGTGACAGTCTGCACGCTGAAGGACGTTAAGGTTACTGCCACGCTGTTGAAGGCTTGGTCGGTGACAGTGACGCAACGGTCGACGGTGACAACTTGGGTGACAGTGGGGTGGAAGACATCGTCCACCCTCCTGACCTGAGGGACGCCAACAGGTCTGACAACACTTCCAGAAGGTCCAGTGCTGCCCACTACTACCCGCGGGACGGCCACCTGGTCCAACCTGCCACTGCTGAATATGGTAGCTGGACCACTACCGGCGACGGGACCGGGACCACCGAAGGGACCTTGGGCGATAACGGGACCCTGAGCGACGACGGGACCCGGACCACCGAAGGGACCCTGGGCGACGACGGGACCTGGACCACCGAAGGGACCCTGGGCGACGACGGGACCTGGACCACCAAAGGGACCCTGGGCGACGACGGGACCTGGACCACCAAAGGGACCCTGGGCGACGACGGGACCTGGACCACCAAAGGGACCCTGGGCGACGACGGGACCTGGACCACCAAAGGGACCCTGGGCGACGACGGGACCTGGACCACCAAAGGGACCCTGGGCGACGACGGGACCTGGACCACCAAAGGGACCCTGGGCGACGACGGGACCTGGACCACCAAAGGGACCCTGGGCGACGACGGGACCTGGACCACCAAAGGGACCCTGGGCGACGACGGGACCTGGACCACCAAAGGGACCCTGGGCGACGACTGGACCTGGAGCTACATCACTGCGAAAGCCTTGGGGAAAGTAACGTCCCTCAACAAGATTTCCTCTGTGCTGGCCTACGTCAGGAACGAGGACGCTGCCAGGGCCCTGGAGAATGAAGGCGTCGTTAGCAGGGCTAGATTGAGCACTACTCGGCAGGGTACTGATTGCTCCAGTTAATACAGGTAGTGGTCGATCAGTGTCCCTGGGAATATTGTGGCCAAGAGCGAGGGATGTATCAGAGTCCTGACGCAGAGCCGGAGCCTGCAGTGTTAAAAATTTTATTAAATAGACACGAGCGCCAAGTTACAAGGTAGTAGCAGTACATAAAGCTTTTCAGTACTGAAAACAAAGTTATACGAAAGCAGCACACACCTGCAGAGGTAAATATTGGCAGGTCACTCCAGCCATGAGGAAGACCACCGTTAATAATTGTGTAGAATACAGCATCTGTAATATTTAGGCATTTTAGAATAAAGTCCTAGTTAGGACTACGTTAAAGTTTCTATGGTGAAGGAAGTTAAAAAGGTTATCGTCTAACACCAGCAATAATTCACTACCGTTATGTTGATTGAAAGACACCTGCAGCCATTAAAAATGTATACACAGTAAACGACACGAAGTTACAGTCTAATGTTTTGAGCCTCCGAATTGAGGAACCTCTAATGAGGAGTTAAAGAGAAAGAAACCAAAGTGAAAATTTAAAAAAAAAAAAAAAAAAAAAAACTAACCCATTCCAGGTTTAATACGAGTTATTTAGCTTACGCTTTACACTTTAAAAATTTATTCTGATTAAGATTTAGAAATTTTTCTTTTGTCTATATTTTATAGAAGTTAATAGAAGGGTTGTTAAAGCAAGCGTAGGGACGAATTTAATCTACTCCATATAGTCATTACTATTAACTTTGTTTCTAATACAAAGAGAAGCCGTTATAAACTTTCAAATTCAAACAGTATAATATGTCCTAGAGTAAAAGTACAATTTACCCCATTAATGCCTTTTTACGTTTTAGAAGTTAAAAAAAAAAAAAAAAAACTGATCTAATATCAACATACCAAGGACTTGACACAAACAACCAAAATTAACCAAAAATACACATTAACATAATACCTTGAGCCAGAGGATGTTACTGGAGTGAAGGCGAGGAGGAGAGTGAGGAGCTGGGCCCCACCTGCCCGCCTCAACACCTCCCTCACACCCTCCTCATGGTCGCTGCCTCTCATAATACACCCCTTCTTTACCCCAGTATTTACACACTCACTCGTAATCCTCTAACACTCTTTGTTTCCCTAAAGTTAACATCGTATTAGTAGTTAGTATATTTATTGTGGCACAACAGAACCTAACTGCCGGTGAGAACGAGGCAAAGTGACCATTATGGACCCGTAAGTGACACTCAGTGGCTTAGCACAGTCTTCCCACACACGCCCCAACACCCAGTGGGACAGGTGGTCCTTGGGTCGTCTAGAGTTTCCCTCAGCCTCAAGTTCTTATTCTTTCAGTAAATAATCTTAAGTGTATCTGCACGGAGCCGCTTGGAAGAACTCGGGATGGGAGAATATTCTTCTACATGTCACTTACAGCGAAATCAAATACGTACAACGTCTTAACTACACAACTACTACTGAATACTTCGTCACCAACGGTGGGACTCTCCTCAGCCTCGCCTCAGTTGTAACAACTGAGTACATTAGGGAAGAGTAGTACAGAGTACATATATAACCATCAGTATAGAGTACGTACGACACTTAATATAGAGTGCATCTAACCCTAAGTACAAAGTACAGATAACCCTAAGTACAGAGTACAGATAACCCTAAGTACAGAGTACAGATAACCCTAAGCACTGAGTACAAATGCCCAGCACGAACATCAAACATCGTTTTCTGGAGACGGAATATTTTGTTATATAAACAAAATGACACTCTGGGAAAAATTAGCACAAGAACCACATTTATCCCTTTGGATGATACAGAGGAATAACAAAGGAAGAACTTAAGGAACAGAATAAGAACACAGAAGTGTTAAGTCTGCAAACACAAACTATGCTCTCTTGTGTCATGTTAGGGACTCTAATCATCGTATTGATTGGTCTTCTAAAATAATCTTTCCTGCCTCTACTCTACACAGACGCCGTCTTGTTGAGTTGGCTGTGATACACAACCTATCCAACATGCTCCTGTGTCCTGGCTTTGTTGCTGTTGACTCTTCCCTTTCACAGTACACACTAAAATGCTTTAACCTTCCTGACACCCGTGACCTGACTCAAGTCTACCCATTCCTCTTTCTTATCCTCCTCTTATTCTTACTTATTCCATTCTTCCGTCATCCAATTATTACCCTCATTCCATTCCTACCTTTCATCCTATTCAAGCCTTTTTGCCTTTCTCTTACCTTCTTCTAGGAATTACCTTCTTCTCTTACCTGCGCCTCACCTCACTATCCTTATTTATTGGCCCGTTCCTTCCTATATCCCAAGGAAGCCTTCAAGGCGTGCCACCTCTTGGGTGGGTTAATCTTCATCTTCCTCTATCCCTTACGGGCTCACTATAGCCCGTGCTATATGGACATTTAGTTTTCAGTAGCTAACTCTACAGCAACATCCTCTCTCCCTCACACACGACTTGATCATGGGCCAGGACGGACCGGAACATCGTCGTCTCTTCATCTGATGAGTAGTTTAATCATCATATCTTCAGCCACGTTAGACTCATCGTCTGCTATGATTCAGAAAAATATATTGCGTTAAAAGTCAAGAGTGAAATATAGAGATAGTATGTGGTTAGAACAGCCATCTCCTGGGGCTAGCCAGAGTCTCTAGTTTACCATCATCAGCATTCCTCAATATTGCTATTGTATGTGCCATGTTAATTGCCCGAAATGGGTGCTCCAAATCCGGATGGGCAGGAGATGGGGACTTTAAGTCGCTGACGACCTGTCGGAGAGAGAGAGAGAGAGAGAGAGAGAGAGAGAGAGAGAGAGAGAGAGAGAGAGAGAGAGAGAGAGAGAGAGAGAGAGAGAGAGAGAGAGAGAGAGAGAATGGAACGAACATTTAACTATTTTCTCACTTTATCCTGCGAGGTGAGTTGAGGAGGTTGCTATAACAACCTCACACACACACACACACACACACGGCTGTGTATTATCAGAATCTTCAAGTGTAATCTTGTAAGATTATTACGTTCTTTAAAACTCAGAACAAAATGATTTCCCCCAGGGCGCGCCAAGTCATGTTTTGGTTCACCAGTGTCGTGAACACCCACAAGTGCGTGATCTGAGTTCTGAGTGACTAAAGAACTCAAGTTTTGTCTTCTGGGTGGCAACGTGTGGCAGGAAGATTGAGGGACAACGTCTGGCAGGAAGATTGGGTGACAACGTCTGGCAGGAAGATTGGGTGACAACGTCTGGCAGGAAGATTGGGTGACAACGTCTGGCAGGAAGATTGGGTGACAACGTCTGGCAGGAAGATTGGGTGACAACGTCTGGCAGGAAGATTGGGTGACAACGTCTGGCAGGAAGATTGGGTGACAACGTCTAGCAGGAAGAAGATTGGGTGACAACGCAGGGAAAGATTGGGTGTAGCCGGTGGCAAGTAGTGGGTAGCAGGAGTGATTTAATACCAGGCCAATGGAAATGTTTTTCATGGATTCCTTTGGAGTGAATATAGTTTAATTCGTCCTCCATTCAGCTGCCACCTTCTACTAGGTTACCATTCTACACGTGGCTATTGTACTCCCTCTGGCTTCCATCTCTTGCCTGCTGCCCTTCTCTTGCCTGCTGCCCTTCTCTTGCCTGCCATCCTCCGTACTGACATCACACGACCACGTGCTTTTGTTTACATGCACAATATAAACAACTCAACACTGACGTCACACGACCACGTGTTTTTGTTTACATGCAGAATATAAACAACTCAACACTGACGTCACTCGACCACGTGGTTTTATTTATATACACAATATATACAATTCAACACTGACGTCACACGACCACGTGTTCTTTGTTTACATGCGCAGTATAGACCACTCAACACTGACGTCACACGACCACGTGATTTTATTTACATACACAATAAATACAATTCAACACTGACGTCACACGACCACGTGTTTTTTGTTTACATGCAGGATTAGGAGACAAGGGTTTCGTCATTAACCTCAGTTTTGAATTGTATGGAATGTCGGTGGTTCCAGCGTTCATGATGCTAATTATATCACCTACTATCACCCAACACATGTTATTACTCAACACATGGTGTCACCCAGTACCTATTATCACCCCAACACATGTTATCATTCAACACCTGTTATCACCAAAAAACTTGTTATAACCAAACACCTGTTTTTCCAACATGTGCACAGTTCTGGCCATAACACCTGTTAACACAGTTATACACATGTGCTGAGTACAACACTGTACATATATGTCAGTACAGATGTTCAGAACAACACAGCACACGTGTGTGTGATGACAGATGTTGAGTGTAACACATCTGTTGACAGTGAGTTGAGCTTGATCAAGACAGGGTACTGCACATAAATTATCTCATTAATAATATGCCAATCAGCAGCTCAGTAACACTGACCAACCGCTAAATATGGAACAGGCTTGCTAATTTATGAAACCAAAAATAGTACCGAGCAAATTAAGGGATGAATTGTTTCAAGCGTAGGTTAGACATCTATATATATGAATAAGTTTGGGAAGATATAAACACGAGCTGCCTCGTGTGGATCAATAGGAGCTGCCTCGTACGGGTCAATAGGAGCTGCCTCGTGTGGGTCAATAGGAGCTGCCTCGTGTGGATCAATAGGAGCTGCCTCGTACGGGTCAATAGGAGCTGCCTCGTGTGGATCAATAGGAGCTGCCTCGTGTGGATCAATAGGAGCTGCCTCGTGTGGATCAATAGGAGCTGCCTCGTGTGGATCAATAGGAGCTGCCTCGTGTGGATCAATAGGAGCTGCCTCGTACGGGTCAATAGGAGCTGCCAGGCATAGGGCAATTATTCTCTTGTAGTGTTATTTATATTCTTATGTTCTTAAACAGTCGATATTATGGAAACTAACGGGGGTAAAAACAGAAGAAATTCTAAACCAACAAAATTTATATTGAACTTGGATATTGTACCTGCCTGCATTCAGACCCCTAAATCAGCCCCCAGCAAAAGGGCTTTAGGGCTTAAGCCCTAAACCGGTCCAGAGCCCAAGCCCTGAGCGGCTTAGTTAACAATAACACAGCCTTCAAGCTGGACATGATAGTCGAGAGAGTACAGCATTAGGAGTGAGCTTTTAAAAGGCATTTGGAAAGGGAAGCTCTCAGTATTTTTTTTTTTCGCGAATGTAAAATTTTTACTCTAGAATGTGAGAAAGCCGTGAGTAGGTTTTTGAAATGCATTTGTTTAGGGGGGAACACAATATTATTTTTAGTACAGATTCAACAAATGGTAAATGTTTTTATATGGCGGGTAAACGTTTATTATTGTTACTGTATAAACGTTTTCGGCGTCTCGCTGTATTTTATGCCATGAGCTTCACTTCCGCCTTTGTTGACATTATCTGTTAGCTGAACGAATGTTTTAATTTATTTTCCCTTCAAATTGGGCTCATTGGCTAAAGGGGCTGTGTGTGTGTGTGTGTGTGTGTGTGTGTGTGTGTGTGTGTGTGTGTGTGTGTGTGTGTGTGTGTGTGTGTGTGTGTGAATGTGTGTGTGTGTATTTACTATTTGTGTCTGCAGAATCGAGCTATTAGCTCTAGGACCCCGCCTTCCTAACCAATCTATTTCTCCTCTATTATATCTACTACATACATTTATCTATAACACACACACTCACACATCCCCAGGAAGCAGTCCGTAGCAGCTGTCTAACTCCCAGGTACCTATTTACTGCTAAATAGGGGCATCAGGGTGAAAGAAACTCTGCCTATTTCTTTCCGCCTCCGCCGGGAATCGAACCCGGGCCATTAGAACAACGATCCCCAAGCGCTGTCCACTCAGCCGCGAGGCCCCCTGTGTGTGTGTGTATGTGTTTGTGTGGGCGTGTGTGTTCCTATATTTCTACTATCCAATCTGTAAGGAGGATCGAACTTTAGCTCTTGGATCCAGCCTTTTCAATTGCCGGTTATCTATTACAACGATTCCAGACCTATTTTTATATCATATGTACTTTTGAATCCCCCCCCCCCCTCTCTCTCTCTCTCTCTCTC